ATTGACAAATATAATAGCAAGCACAGGAAGCTGGTTGCATGTATTCAAGCAAATCCAAATATTATTATCTTAGGCCCTAAAAACAAATTAAGGTTGGTAGATGAATTATATGTGCCGATATATAACAAAGTAGGGAAAGCAAGACAGACGCGCAATGCATGTACTTTATGGAAGGCCACGAATTAATATCCTGCCTTTGATTATGAAAAAGTAAAGACCACCCACCATATACTTCTAACACTCTATTTGCAGTGACTAACAGAGAAGGAAAAAAGAAAAACAGCATTGTCACTATTACAAGCAAATGTAGTAACTAATGTACCACCAGTTCCTAGATTGCCATATAATATGATCCATTGTCAAGGTTTTTTTTTTTGGGTAAATATATATTTCTGATTTTCATATTATTCGTCACTCAACCTGTTTTTGCTCCGTGTTAAATATGAACGGATCAAATAATTATCTGTTTTTTGGTTAATACTTTTTACCGTCCATATCCATTTGCGAGCACTAATATTGTACTATTTACCGCAACTAAATTATATGTGGAATATTGAAGCATGAAGTTTTTCAAAAGAATTAGGGACTAATCATACTCCCTCCAGTCCAAAATAAGTAATTTTTTGGATGTTTTCACACAGATTAAGAAATCCATCTTTTAGCATTAATTAGCAATAAAATTGACCATATTAACCTTTACTATCTCAAATAAATACTCCTAACACATACTCCAACACTATTTACTCCAAGGACAATGTAGGAAAAAAATAATTAATTCATTTTTGAAATCTGGAAAAATCACTTATTTTGGATCACAAAAAATACTAAAAAATCACTTATTTTGGACCGGAGGGAGTACTACGTTAGTGCATTACTTAGTGGGTTTGAAGAGGACCAATGGGTTTAATTGTCGGTGGAGATTGTCCTTTTGATTGACTCAGCAATTTTATGCTGCCCACGTATTTCTCCGACTTCTCTTTTAAAGTCTTAACATTAGACCATCCATTTCAATAGCAGTGCTTAATTATCTGTAGATTACAATAAGCTTCTTAATTCAATTGCTTCTCTTCTAAGCCATTAATTTTGTTATATGTCGATGAATTAGGATCTTGCGCTCCAACTTATTTATGATAAGTCAAGAACAGATGGCATCGTATTTAGAACAATAATAAATTATCCACAAGGATATTAGAAAAATAATACCACTTCTATAATCATTTAACAAACATGGTTGGTCAATTGAATCCCAGTTTGTTGGGAAAAAAATCTGTTCCCCTCATTTTTTGGTGTTTTTGTTTTCACATTCTTATATTATTTTGTATGATTCATTGTTTCCGGTGCATTTTATTCGCGCCGGGAAGTCTCACATTGGGGGGTAAAGCGCTCCCTAACAAAGGCGACTCCATACTCAGGGGTTCGAACTCGAGACCTCTGGTAAAGGATGAAGGAGTACTTACCACTCCACCACAACCCTTGGTGTAATATAGGGCTAATATATTATAGTTATTCTCTTCTTGTTTTGTTTTTCACAATTATTCACTTCTTGTTACAAACTTATAATCATGTGTCGTGTGCTGTGCATAGGAATTTCAGAAACCACTATTATTTAGTGGCTATTAATTTTCTGTAACTATCATATACATAACTACTTTCTATAGTTAATATTCAGTTGTTACGGTGGTGTATTCGCTGTATTCACGCTTATATATTCAGGAATACATCAGCAAAAAACGCCTAAAAATAAGGGTAGCCAAGTACGCACATGTATTCACATGTATTTTCGCCATGTATTCACTAATACAGTAGTAAAAAGTGCCTAAAATCAGGGCACTCAAGCTGTATGTGCATCTATTCACATGTATTCGCAGTGTTGTATTCATGGATACAACAGTAAAAAGCGCCTAAAATCATAGCAGTCCAGCTGGACGCGCATGTATTCACATGTATTCATGAATACAATTGCAAAAGGCGCCTAAAATCAAGGAAGTCCAGCTGTATGCGCATGTATTCACATGTATTCCCGTTATGTATTCAAGTAACGCCAATCACCTTAAAAATAGATACGTCCAGCTGTCTAAGAGAGAGGAAAATAAAATGGCGTATTTCATGCCTTATTTCATCCCTCAATAGTAGTATATACCATAAATACTAATTCTGCTATAAAATATAAAAGGTAGTTATAGAAAATAATATTTTAAAATAATTTTAATTTATAATAAATAGGATGTATACCTTTGCCGTAGGAGGTAAAATTTCCAATTAGAAACCAAGACTTTAGAGACAGGCCAGAAATCTGGAGTCCAACTATAGAACTCGCTTCTGCTCCAACTGAAGATGGGCTGGGCCTAATCTCGAGGTGATATATAACATGTGGCCCAAACTAGCATGTTATTATTTGGGATTTATTTATTTGAATAATATTCGGAATGGATTAGTCGAATCTTTGTGAAAAAGAAAAAGTGGTTTGCCTATGGGAACTCGCAATCATGAAGCAGCAAATACTGGGATGTTTTAAACAAACTTTGCGGCTCTGTTTTACGCTTTTCACACTTTTTTCCAGTTTCCATAGTCTTTAATCCTTTGCCATGCTAGCTGATGAAATCACTTAAACCCATACGCTTCAATTTACTCCTGACGACTAAGAGCCCGTTTGGATGGACTTGTTGTAAGTGATTTTTAAGCCAAAAGTCGTTGGAATTCTAGCTTTTGGCTTTTGGCTTATTTTTGTGCTTAAAAGCATTTTTTTACTTCATTCAAACACTATAAAATGACTTAAAACCTATTTTGGCTTAAAAGCACTTAAAATAAGCCAATCCAAACGGGCTATAAGAGAAGCCACCCATCATTTCACCTTGAGCTTGCACTTTGTCTTTTTCAACTTCATAATACTCCCTCCGTTCATTTTTACTTAGCATATATATTAAAAATAGATTTTTATTTTTACTTGTCACTTTATGTATATTAACGGAAGAAATTCTTTTTTTTTCTGTTATACCAACAGTATTTATTACTCATTTCTAATCATTTTGTCAAATCCAATAAAATATGCATCAATTAATATGAGTATCATGGTAAATTATGCACTTCATTTATTATTTCTTAAGGGGCGTGGAAAGTCAAAACGTTCCACGTAAAAGTGAATTGGGGGACTACTCATCATGCTTAATATTTTACTTAAAGGTTATGTATGTGATCCTCATTTTTACTTTCTTTCAATAAAATTGTAGGTTTTTATATAAATTAATAATCGTATCGATAATTACTATATGTTTTATTTTATGAAAATACTGAAAAAATATCGAACCGTACCAAATAAATTTATATATGAAAAATATATTTATATATTGATTTAAAAAAATGAAGTATTAGATTTTTTCTTGGGCCTTGGAATTATGGAAACGATTACAAGTTAGCAAGTAATTAAACTCAAAATCCTAATTCCCAAACCTATTATGCCACTCCTACTAAAACTAAATTATTTTAAGCATATACACTAGCAAGACATAAAGTATTGTAGCGATTATGAGTAGCAAACTGCAATATATTGAATATATTTTCTTTCGTATGATTTAGATTTATCGTTTTGAATATTTAATCTTCCTTTAGACTTTATTCTTGAGTCCCAACTTGGTTAATATCTCTCCACTGATACTCGTGTGATTTATATTTTCTGTATTTGCTTAGTTTCTTTTATGCTGTTGTAGAATAGTTGATGGATTTATACTCTAACCATCTTTCATATTTTCTTAATTCATCACAATATAAACAGTAAAAATGTCCATAGAGTTTTGCTAAGTCCAAATATATTATTGCATTATATTTCTACTAGTAACTTTGGTAAAAATTTACCCGCATCGGGTGTTTACACCCAACCAATAAACAAATGACACATATTACTTTATTTAATTCTAATTATTAGTACTTAACCATAGTTAATTACCACGTGTCTTGCACATGATCTTAATTAATAATATGAAAATACTTAATAACCATGCTAGCTATTCCTTGTTATCTTCTAAACAGTACCGTCAACCTATCCCATAGGCCACCATTGGCCATTACGAACTTCGAAAAATAATTTTCTTCTCCTATAATTATTATTATATTTTAATCTTAACCAACCAAAGTATAGGCTCTACTAGGTTTTACTCATCTGACTATAGAAACAAAATTTTCTTAACATCCACCATATATGGATCGAAATTTTAGTCCTCTCATGCACATGTACATATCAGAGTACAAAATTTAGACATGGAAAAATTATTTTGCAGCCTTAAAATAATATAAGGATGAAGCTAAACAAACATATTATATACTCCAATCCGTTGCTTTTAGTTTGTACTCCCCAATCAGTACGTCTTCCAAATTACTGTTTTAAATGAAAGAACGAAAAACACAAGTCCGCAACAAATTAAAAGATACTAAGGACGTGACGGCAATTCTAATGTTTCTGAGGTTGGTTACTTTGAGTTTATGACACTATTATCTTTTTTGAAAAAAAATATTTATTAGAAATAAGACTCATAATATACTTTAGTTTGTTTCCTATGATTAACTTAACTAAGTTGGGTGTAAATACTCGGTACGGGTATGTTTTCCAGTAACTTTTACATGACGTTTTAAAAAATACCGAAAAGTAACCAAACCGTATCGATACCGAGGAGAAACCGATATGATTGGACGGTTTCAAAAGTTTAGTTTTGATTATACATAATTGAATCGAAAAATTTGTATGATACATATTTCATAAATATAACCGGCCGAACCGAGCCATCGACACCCCTAGCGTCACGTTACCCCCGGCGTGGGTCAAGTTGCAATTGTGGGTTGCTACGAAATGTCAGCCCAAAAAAAGTTTAATAGCCCAAAATTTGAAAGATTCTATTTGGATAAATTTATGGCCCACAATATAGGACGGACAAACAATTTAGATAGGAATTTTGACAAGTGTGACGGTTGACAATGACGATCGGGACCTCAACCACAATCTGGTACTCCATTCCTGACATAGCCATATGTATCAACATTCGTTCCCATGCTTTGGTACACGTGACACCTGACTTTATCTTGTTATAAATTCATTCAAACTTATCATTAATATTTATCATTAAATGTTTACAAATCTTCGAGCCATTCATTCATTCATTCATTAATCTTTTAAGGTAGTACAAAGTTCCAATAAGTTGCTTCAAACAGTACTATAAGGGAGCTGAGTGCAACTAAGGTTATTGTAGAAATGGCCAGTACTAAAATTGATGACAAAGTCAGAATTCCTGGTCCTGGGAATTCAAGGTTCTTAATTGTGAGCCACAAAAATGGAGGAATTTGGGACCTCGTACGCTTCGGCATATGGGGCAACAAAGAAAGCGGTGATAAATTTCTTCAATATTCGGCCGGCGGTGGAGCCCTTGAAGAACATTTAATGCGTGCCGACGATAGTGGCGGCGACGACGACGGAGGTGGCGAGGTGCCTGATCATAGATGGGTTATATTTGTGTCCATTATAGTGAGGAAATTAATCGCCATTTTCGGTAAACCAATGGAGTGGATTGGCTATCTCGTGGAGTTCTTCCTCAACCTTTTCTCTCTCAATGGCAATTTTCTTGGCCTTCTCTACAATATCTTGCATGGTAATACTAACAGTTTCTTACTTTTTTTAAAGCTTTTATATGTATATATATGTGCACATTCATGTATGCATGTATATTTTGTATTATTATACTCGGAACGGTTTTACTTTTGGTTGTATGAGTTATTTGGGAATTAAGGATGTTGATTCATGAGTTATATATCAGTCACATCTTCCATAAGGTGCTGATTTTGCTGTTAATGATTTAAAAGTAGCTTTTTTGTTCCGCATTTTGGAAAGGCATTCTTGTAAAAATGATATTCTTGCCATTTGGAAGATGCTCATGATTGATTTGAATATTCACTTTCGAAATTAAGGAACAAAGTATATTTCCTGTAACAATCTGCCGTTATTTCAATGCTTTCATATTTCCCCCTGCTATGCACTACCCTCTAGCTACCATCACTTGACACTTCAGCTACTAAATGATGATTGAAAGTGAGGTAAAACTGAGGACAGACTTATCTTTAAGTTAAATTTTTTTCCAACAGAATATGTGAGAGCAGTTTCATCCGTTCTCCAGCCGAGCGTCTATCGGAAACCGCCTCTCTACCCTTCCAGGGTAGGGCTAACGCTGCATACATCTTACCTTCCCCAGACCCCACATGTGGGAAATTACTGTTGTTGTTGTTGTAGAATACGTGAGAGCAGTTCTAAAAAGTGAAAAACGTGGGTCTCATGACTTTTCTGAGTTTGTTAATCTAGATCAGAGTTTTCCTTTCAAGAAAGTGAACGGCTATTTTGAGCTAACATAAAGTTTGAGTAATTTGGTACGGCAAGGATTTAGCCAAAAATTGCTGCTCTGAAAATTTCTGTCATTTGCGTGGAAAGTGATTGTGAATTTTCTGTATATGAGCATGGTGAATATCATAGAAATGTTTGTTTCACATCAAATATGTAGACGCTTCTTCATTTGCATTACTGAGTATCACTATATGCTTACTGAGTGCTGACTCAAAACATAGTTTGGTGCGTCCAGTACTTTTAAGAAGAATTGTGTCCATTGCCATTAAGATCCTGAGTTTTGTATCTTCTGTAATTATTGATTCATGAACGGAATGTTTCGTGAAAACAGGAAAGGTAGTGATGCCACAGAGAGGCTCTGAAACATTTATAAGTGCTATTGGGCATCTGGATGGGCGTATAAACCTATACAAGAGTGAGGCTTTAACAAAGGAAATTGGAGAACCCGATTTCTGGGGGAAAATTGTTCTAGGACACAGAGCCCTTATGGACCTCTGTATGATGGCTTCAAAGTTGGCCTACGAGAATGAAAAAGTCGTCCGCAATGTTGTAAATCTTCACTGGAAGGTTATGTTATGATTCAGTTTTTCCTTTGCTTTTTTATTTTCATGTTGATTGTTCTTTTACTCTAACTGATGGACTACACTAAGCTTCCTGTGTTGTTTATTAAAACTTAATACTTCTGCTTTCAATAACAGATGCATTTTGTGGATTTCTACAATTGCTGGAATGGTGAGAATTCTACCTTTTGCTTGCCTTCGAGTCATATAAAAAAATTACCATTTATGCACACCCTCTTTCGGAGAGAGTTAATCTATTACGACTTGCAAGTTTCCAGCTTTCAAGGGGAAAATAAAGTTGCACTGCAAACTCGCTTTCCGTCTCATTTATTTTGTGCACCACTGTTTGTGGTTTATTCTCTCTATACATTGAAGGAAATTATGACTCCTTTGCTTCGTCTTTGTTGTCAATAGTTATGGCATTTTCTGATTGGATGGACTATTTGTTTTTGTTCCTCTGTATTTACTGAAACAGATTTCGAGAAAGAGATGTCCACCCAGGTTTTTATATTATGCGATAAGCCAAAAGACGCAAACTTGATATTGGTCAGCTTCAGGGGCACAGAGCCATTTGATGCGGATGACTGGATTACTGATTTTGACTACTCTTGGTACGAGATTCCAAAACTGGGGAAAGTACACATGGGATTCTTGGAAGCCTTAGGTTTAGGGAGCAGAACAAATGCATCCACATTTCACGAACAACTGTTTGTGAATAATCCGAAGTTCACCAATTTAGAAAATGTTGATGCAACTACTGCTCTTTCAGAAAGTTCTGTATCTTCTACCGCATTCAGTGATTCTGATGCACACAGTGGGTCAGATCAGTCGTCTGACTCAGAACGGCCTACTGATACTGGCGAAAAGAAGTTCAGGCTAGAAATTCCGGAGAGGACTGCATACTACGTTGTTAGAAGCAAACTGAAAAGGTTACTCAAAGAGCACAAGAATGCAAAATTTGTTGTTACAGGCCATAGCTTGGGCGGAGCGTTAGCTATATTATTCCCGGCAGTCCTAGTACTACATGAGGAGTTGGATGTCATGGAACGATTATTGGGCATATACACATATGGGCAGCCAAGGGTTGGGAATAGGCAGTTAGGGAAGTTCATGGAAGCCCATTTGGAACATCCAGTCCCGAAGTACTTCAGGGTTGTTTACTGCAATGATCTTGTTCCAAGATTACCTTATGATAATAGAACATTCCTGTTTAAACACTTTGGGATTTGCCAATACTACAACAGCTTATACATTGAACAGGTAATGCTTCGATGCCCTATTACTTTGTAAATAAAATGTTCTCTCTAACCACTTAAGTTTTTTGATGAGTTGGTGACACACTTCAACATGCAACACAGTTTCCTCTACTATGCAGTCAACTTCATTAGTCATAGTGTTCATTGTGAAGATGAATGTGCGTGCTGTGTGGTTATATCTTTGCCTTTGTTTTGTACAGAACGTCGATGAAGAACCGAACCCGAACTATTTTGGGATGAGATTTCTGGTACCACTGTATCTGAATGCTGGTTGGGAGTTAATCAGAAGCTTTACAATGGGTTACATGTATGGATCCCAGTATGAAGAATGTTGGGAATCAGTGATGCTTCGCGCGCTAGGACTTTTTCTTCCTGGAATATCTGCCCACAGCCCAGTTGATTATGTGAACTCCATCAGACTTGGAAAGGCGAGAAGTACACAGATGTCATCCTTTTAGAAAGCTTTTTGTCACAAATAGTGGTTTTATAGCTGGACATTATCATGCATTTCTTATGAGGCTTATGCAGTATGTGTCCTGTTTGATTTTTGAAGATTTTGCTTTTAGTGTTTATGTATGTCAACAATAAACTTATTTCAGTTGTCTTATTAAGAGATGGATTTGCATAAAAGATATTATTCCTCTGGTAATCGTATTAAACATGTTATGCATGTCTTCAGTGAGGCGAGTAGATATAAGATTGTAGATGGTGGTATATGTTATTATACTCTATTTGTAAAATAATTCTGGAAATATAAATGAACATAAACAGAAAATCAATTCGAGCCTACTGAATTCACAGTGTGTCCTTAAGGAATTTAATCCCTTCCTAGTACCCAAGGTTATGGATTATTTCCTCCCAGGATAGAACGAATTATACACTGGTGTAGTGGTACTTCAAACCCCAGTGTTTCAACGAACACAAAGTTCGGTAGCAAATCACACTTACTGTTGCCTTGTTTGATGCTAAAATTATGCAGAAGAAGGAGGAGAAACTCAGAAAATCGTAGTGAAATTCTGAGCAGAATAGTGTTGTATTTATCGGCAAAGTTGGGCTGAAATCTGAAGAGGTACTCTTCAGAATGGCTGTTTATGCAAAACGGCCACAGCATAAATGCCATTACATAAATGGCCATTTACTCAACATAAAGAGGGAAAATAAAGGAAAAATTGAAGGTGGTCCAAAAAGTTAATCAATCAGTTGACCAAATTCGAATCTGAATTCGAAGCCGAAGCCGAAGCCGAACCGAGCCGAGCGAGCAACGACGACGATGACGACGACGACGCGAGACTTGCCTTCTTCTCAACTCTTTAAGAGTTAGAAGAAGAGCAATTGGTTATATACCGATAAAAAACTTCTTCCTCTTCCAATATGGGACAATGTCCATTTACCAAGGGGGGAAACTTAAAATTTTACTCAAAAAATTTATTTCCCTCCATTTCCCGTTCACCCTCTTTTATGTATTTAATATATATTAAATACAAAAAACCCAACAATCCCCCACATGAATGGGGAATGGCTATACGAAAGTATGTATGAAAAACTGTGTGATTCGCAAGCAATGATTAATTGCATCTGGATAAGTAGGTTTCCCTTTGAACTTTCCGTAGTGAAATTATGTCGGATATACTCGATCAATCGGTAAATTTGATATCTTTGAACCGTCGAACTTTGGTGTATACCTAGACAACCACAAGTCACACAACCAACCCTTAACCGTCTTTGGTTCTCCTTGTTGTGTTCGTTTCAGCCATGAACACCGCCTGGTTTCATAAGTGCGTAGAGAACTGGCCTTACAAAGTTCTCCTTGAAGCGGCTAACACTTCACACTTACATAGGTGATTCCTAAACGTGTCATCTCGTAGATACACTATTTGATATACCCCGTATCAAATTTAGAAATCATTAAAAAGCCTTAATGGTTTATCCTTGATACTGAACATTGTCTCATCGCGAGAATGGACCAAAAGTTTAGTTGACAATGTTGAACCGTCATTAATGACTTTGTTTGATCTCCTTGAACCTAGATCTTGGGATCTCCAGTCTTCTAGGTAGAGTTACAGCCACTATGACTTGTTCTCGGCGACAGTCCCATTCCCCTTGATGATTTCTCAACTACCTCTCTAGTTAGGCCTTTTGTAAGTGGATCCGACACATTATCACTTGACTTCACATAGTCAATCGTGATAATTCCTCTAGAGAATAATTGTCTAACGGTTTTATGTCTTCGTCGTATATGACGAGATTTACCGTTATACATAACGCTCCCAGCCCTTCCAATTGCCGCTTGACTATCACAATGTATGCATATTGGTGCCAACAGTTTGGGCCAAAATGTAATATCTTTCAAGAAATTCCGGAGCCATTCAGCTTCTTCACCGGCTTTATCCAAGGCTATGAACTCAGCCTCCATTGTAGAGCGGGCAATACAAGTTTGTTTGGACGACTTCCAAGATACCGCTCCTCCACCACTAGTGAATACATATCCACTTGTGGACTTGGAATCAGCTGATCCGGTGATCCAATTTCAATGACCGCAGGATATTTACTGTAGTGCAAAGCAAAGTCCTGGGTATGTACTAAATACCCCAAAACTCGTTTCATGGCCATCCAATGAGATTGACCTAGATTGCTCGTATATCGACTCAATTTACCTATAGCACAAGCTATATCTGGTCGTGTACAATTCACGATGTACATTAAGCAACCCAACACACGAGCATAATCCAATTGTGATATGCTTTGGCCTTTGTTCTTTGCTAATGCAAGATTCACAGCAATTGGAGAGTATGTATCAAAATAGTCAAGACCTTCTCGTTGTCTATACCCTTTGACCACAAGTCTTGCCTTATATTTGTCAATAGTGCCATCATCTTTCATTTTCCTCTTAAAGATCCATTTAGAACCCAACAGTTTATTTCCAGGAGGAAGATCAACCAATTCCCATGTATGGTTGTTCAATATGGATTCTATTTCACTATTGACTGCCTCTTTTCATAACAATGATTCCGAAGAAGACATAGCTTCTTTAAATGTTTGAGGCTCATTTTCCAATAAGAAAGTCACAAAATCTGGTCCAAATGAAGTAGACGTTCTTTGACGTTTACTACGTCTTGGATCCTCCTGGTTAAGTGTACTTTCTTTTGTTTCTTCCCGAGGTCGTTTAGATCCTTCACCAATCGACTCACATTCCTTTTTATACGGATATATATTTTCAAAGAACTCAGCATTATCTGATTCTATAACCGTATTATTATGAATGTCGGGATTTTCTGACTTATGAACCAGAAATCGATATGTTTTACTATTAGTCGCATATCCTATGAAAACACAATCAACGATTTTCGGTCCTATTTTTACCCTTTTGGGCTTAGGAACTTGCACTTTTGCCAAACACCCCCCACACTTTAAAATAATTCAAGTTGAGCTTCCTTCCTTTCCATTTTTCACATGGAATGGATTGTGTTTTGCTATGGGGTACTCGATTTAGTATTCGGCTAGCCGTAAGAACGGCTTCCCCCCACAAGTTCTGTGGCAAACCAGAACTTATCAATAAAGCGTTCATCATCTCCTTTAATGAACGATTCTTTCTTTATGCAATCCCATTGGATTGGGGCGTGTAAGGGGCTGTTGTTTGATGAATAATTCCATATTCTAAACATATTTGTTCAAAAGGAGATTCATATTCATCACCCCTATCACTTCTTATCATTTTGATTTTCTTGTTAAGTTGCGTTTCAACTTCATTTTTGTATTGCTTGAATGTGTCTATTGCTTCATCTTTACTATTAAGTAAGTAAACATAGCAATATCGAGTACTATCGTCAATAAAAGTTATGAAATACTTCTTTCCACCACGAGATGGTATTGACTTCATATCACAAATATCTGTGTGAATTGAGTCTAAAGGATTTGAATTCCTTTCAACTGACTTATAAGGATGTTTAACATACTTAGATTCCACACATACTTGACATTTTGATTTGTCACATTCAAACTTAGGCAATACTTCCAAATTAATCATTTTCCGCAAGGTTTTATAATTGACATGACCCAAACGTATATGCCATAATTGAAATTTTATTATTATTTTCAACAACCATTACATTCAGCTTGAAAAGGCCCTCAGTGAGTTAACCTTTTCCTACAAATATTTCGTTCTTACTTATTACAACCTTATCAGAAACAAAAACACATTTAAAACCATTCTTAACAAGAAGTCCAGTAGAGACTAAATTCTTCCTAATCTCGGGAACATGAAGGACGTTGTTCAAAGTCACAACTTTGCCGGAAGTCATTTTGAGAAATATCTTCCCACATCCTTCAATCTTGGCCTTTGAAGCATTTTCCATAAAAATCGTCTCATCGGGTCCAACAGGAGCATAAGTAGCAAAAGCTTCTCTAACAGCACAAACATGGCGAGTGGCTCCAGAATCAATCCACTACTCTTTAGGATTGCCCACCAAGTTGCATTTGGAAAGCATGGCACATAAGTCATCAACATCATCATGCTTTTCAACCATGTTTGCTTGACCCTTCTTCTTGTCTTTCTTTGGAGCACGACACTCCATAGATTTGTGTCCGGTTTTTCCAAAGCTGTAGCAGTTTCCACTGAACCGCTTCTTGCTGGGGTTGTATTTCGGTCCAGAAGCCTTCTTCCTCTTTTTGTTCTCTTCAACAATATTTTCTCCCATTATTGTTGAGTTCCCACGGCCTCTCTTTTCAGCAGCTTTGTTGTCCTCTTCGATTCTCAACCGAACAATGAGATCTTCAAGGGGCATTTCCTTGCGTTTGTGTTTCAAGTAGTTTGAAGTCCTTCCACAAAGGAGGCAACTTCTCAATCATCGCTGCTACTTGGAATGCTTCATTGATGACAAGACCTTCAATAAAATTTCTGTTGGTAAAAATACTAAGATTACTACTTTCAACATCAATATTCATTTGATTTATACCTTCAGCAAGGAGATCGTGAATAATCACTTGCAATTCCTGGACTTGGGTAATAACATACTTGCTATCTACCATTTTGTAGTCCAAAAACTTTGCAGCAACAAACTTTTTCAACCAGGCATCTTCGGTTTTGTATTTCTTTTCAAGCGCAATCCACAATGCTTTTGACGTTTCCACACCACTGTAGACGTTATACAAAGCATCCTCCAGCCCGCTTAGAATATAATTCTTTCACAAAAAGTCTGAATTCTTCCACGCCTCAATCACGAGAAAGTGTTCAGTTTCTGGAGTTTCATCGGGCAGCACAGGAACGTCTTCCTTGATGAACTTCTGGAGACTTAGAGTAGTCAAATAGAAGAACATCTTTTGCTGCCAGCGCTTGAAATAAATCCCGGAAAATTTTCTAGGTTTCTCCGCCGGTGCCAATGCTGCCGGTGTTGTTCGGCTCGTTGAGGCATTGGCAGTCACCGTTGGAACAGCTTGGTTCACATTATCATTAGTCATTTCTGTAAAAGAATGACACAAATGTTAAAATCACGTAGATTTTAATAGAGTACAAAATCACACAGGTTTTACTCTCCAGAAACAGTGATTACAAATACAGAATATATTAAATTCCTTAAGCTTGTTATTATACTGTATTTGTAAAATAATTCTGGAAATATAAATGAACATAAACAGA